TGTCTTTCCTGATATCTGGAGGATTACGTGGCTCTCAGTATATCAGGCAGCTCTAGTAAATACTAGTTTAAGAATTTTCTGGAGAATGAGGATTCTTTGTAACAGCTGATAGCAGCTAGATTGATAATGAGCAACTTCCAGTAGGAGGTGCTCATTTTTCAGCCCAGAGATAACCTCTCACTATGCACAACATGCACAAGTGCCAGTGGTGCATATTGTACAGCAGCCACACTGTGCTATAGCTTCATGTAATTAGGGAGACATCCCAGAGATGGTAACTTCTGCCTGTTCTGGACTACCATCTTCATCTTCTCAGTTATGATATACCCCACTGTCAGCCACATATATAATGTTTGTGAAATGGGAGGACCAAGTTATCTCCAAAGCAAACAGCCTTCCTGTGTAACATCTCCAGGCGCTCAGCACTGGTTACTCAATTTTCCTGTTAGAATAAGATCACTGATTTAGTAGAGTTGTTTTAATTTCATAACACACTATAATTGTGCCCTAATTTGTGAAAAAAAAAGATTTATCTGCCTCCCTCTTGTATACTAGGTGATGTGATTTTCTGAGATTATAGCTGTATTTTTCCTGTTATTCTTGGTGGCCTGTCTCTACCTGAGCAGTTGCCTCTTCTATAATGCATCCCCTCCAGGTAACACTCAGAATACTGTTAACTGAATATGATGATAACTTAAAGTAACGCCAAAGGGAGATCTGCTTTCCACTGTATAGCCACTCACTGCCCAAAGGGAAGGGAGCAGAGGTTTGTGCTCATTGCCTTAGCTCTGTTTGGACAGGTGTTCTGCACCCTGCCTCCAGGCTGCAAGACGGGAGGGATTACATTCCACTTAGGGGGAGAAAATACAGGGAAATGAGATCAGTTTAGAGGCAAAAATATAAGGAAACGAGATCAGGCAACTAGGTAGAAAACGAAAATGAAATGATGGCTGCTTATCAAACCATATATATACATATATATACTTTTTTTCATACTTGTGTCTGTCACTAGCTTCTGATGTTGATCTCTCAGCATCAGCATTCTCTTCATCCTATGAGGGGAAGACTAAAATACACATGCAGGACCACACTCATGAAACTGCACACTCTTGGCTTGCAGACACATCCTAATTCATTAATAGCAGCCAATAGTTTTCTGTTACTGCTAGGAAGGATAAAGAAAGCAGGGATGTTGTAACTGTCTAGTGAAGCAAACAGTTCATCCTCCCAGGATTTCAGCAAAATAAAGTGCATTCCTAATTAGGGATGATACATGCTCAACTTCATAGAACTGAATTGCTCAGGTTGGAAAAGACCGTAAAGACCATCAAGTCCAATTTGCATTCATTATGTTCTTAATTCTTTCACAACTCCACCATACATTCTAAAGTTGTCTTAAAAGGAATGCAACATCAGTGTTTAACACAGAAATACTCCTTTGTTTAGAAGCAGAACAAACATTTTTGCATTGCTAAGTCTCAACTGAGTAAGTTTTTCTCCTCTCCAAGCACTGCATTAAAATATAATATGACTATTAAGATGTATATAGGACATGCCTAGCTTTGGTCCAGCAGTGTCCAACCCAGTTTGGTGGTGGTAAGAAACTTATTTAGGCAAATCTAAACCAGTAAACAAGATTAAAAAAATATATCAGTAGGTGTGCCAGAGGTCAGGAGGTGACAGTAAAACTCTGAGATGTTTGATCTGCATGCCAGGAATGAAAGTGTTTTAACTGCAAACCAGAATTAATAAATGATTAACTTGAAAGATTCCAATAAGAAAAGCAAGGCATGGTCAGATACTGATCATACCATTAGGAACAGTATAAGGGACAGTTAAATGATATGGGTTATACAGATAAAGCTTCATTAAAATCTTAGATAATATTCATAATTAAAATAATTAACAGTTCAAAACAGGAAAATTCCAAGTCTGAGAAAGCCCCAGAATAACTTCTCAAGTTGGGTGGAGTAGCAATAATGGATGTATTTCAAAATTCACCAAAATGGACTATAGCCTGATGACTAGGCAAGTTTATATACATACACACATAGTAAATATATATATTCACACACATATTTATAAACACACATCAGTAGCATGCATTTGGATGGAAGAGCAAAGACAAGAACAGCTTGTCTTTGAAGCAAGATTATGGGAAAACATACAGGAATGTGTTCAAAGTAAAACAGAATGTGAAGTATCAGTCTAAAGACAGGATTCAAACTTGGAATATGCATGAAGCAAACTGCTTAATTTCTGCTCAGCTTACTTTATTTAGCTTCTCCTTCATAAATGAGAAGCTGGTGGCATGAATGGAGGAATATCAAAATGGTCTGCAGTAAGGAAAACCATAAGCCTGAGAAAGATGAATGAGATATTTGGTGAAGGGACAAAAGCTGACTTTGGTCACTTATCAAAACTGTATGCATATTCAGAGTAAATTATGCATAGCAAAAACGGCCACAACAAGCTCGTTCAACATGAAGAAATTAGAATGGTAAGTCCTGAAGGCGGGTGTTTGCCTCACGTACGGACCTTTATGGCAGCTGGATTCTGCTGAAGAGAAATACGCACACACCAGAAAATCAGAAAGGTGATCTCACAAAAATTCCTCAGAACTCTGAAGCAGCAGAAGTTTACAAGAGGAAGGACAGACTGGACAGAGCTGACACAGCTTGACTTTTTTTTATAATGAAAGGAAAAGGTTATAATTACCGTAAGGTGTCTAGAAAAAGATTCAGAAATTGCTATGGAGAACTCATAGAAAAATTGTTCGTGAACATCAAAATATCAGAGCCCTGTTTCCTTAGGAAACAAACCCAAAGCAACTAAAACCATTGGTTAGCACGTTTTTGTATTTATTCATATTGATCTGTTCAAGATCCATATGCCCTACATAAACATGACAGATTTATACCATATCAGAGAAGGAAATTTGGATTCTCTAGAGAACTCTTGTTTTTACAAGTAAGAATTTAACCACAACTGTAAAGCAAATAATGTGTACGTGTGAATGTGCGTGTTCTCCCAATAAAATCATTTGCATAATTCATTTACTGCACCTAGATAGACTTCAGAGTTCTGCTTAACAGCAAATTTCAGGTTTTGCAATTACAGTATGAAAAAGTGTGAGAAAACCAAATCAATTTTTAGTAAGTTCTGTTTCTACATGTTTTCCAGCATCCTCATCTTGCAATGATTTTTGCTGGTTCCAGTTCCTCCCAGTAGGTCTTTCATGCAAGGCAAACCTGTCTGAATACCGTGAAGGTGAAGCACTAACACAAAAAAGCACCAAGCATTTTCAGTGTATCAGGAGAAAAAAAAAAAAAAAAAAAAAGGATGATAAGGACTTATTTAACTTGCTCCAATAGTGCTGCAATTTGAGACGGAAGCATAAATAATGCTGATTATACTTTGTCAGACTAAATCCAAGGCACTAAAACAGTTGACTCCAGGCTGCTGTCATTTACAGATTCAGGGAGCCATTCAAATATATGTGTTTTAAAAAAAACCCTATTTTCTAGAAAATTCTCTAAACAAGCATTGCTGGTAAACTCCTCTCAAATGTAATGTGATACAAGCTCTGCTCCAAAATCTGGAACACAGCGGAGTGCTCTGAACAGAGTGGGAGACACCTGAGATGATTCTCTTAAATTATGCAAGAATCTCAGCTATGCACAGTAAAAGCATCAGTGTCAGGAGGTGAAGAACACAGCACTCTATACACTCACAACTAAATGCATTTAAAGCAGGAGTTCTCAAAACCCTCCCAGGAGTTTTGGCCACATTTTGTAGAGGAACTCTTAGTTTCACTTCCCATTAATAATCATAAAACATCTTTGTGCCAGATACAGCACAAAGACATGGAAAAATAATTTTAGGAAAGTATTTAATATGTTTTAGCTACCTTAAGACAACACTTAGCAACTTTAAAGAGCGGGGCCAACAGCCTGTTTTTGGCTCTTTGGAGACCACCAGAAGGACTGTGGGCCCTGGAGTGGTCTGCAGACATGGTACCACCTGGGACGTCTTTCTGTGGTTGTATTCCTCCATGAGAGATGTAGGAGGTTACTTTTGCAGATGTCTTACCTTGTTAGCCAAATCAGTCACGTTTAAAGTGTTTTGGGCACTACTGTATTTTATTATTAGCTTCCCTAGTGTCTTATTTCCTCTTGTCCTTTTCCACCAGAGGAAGCCCTAGGAGAATAATCAAAGGAACATCAGCACCTAACCTCCTTGATTTTAACTCCCTGTCTTCTGCAGGTCTGGCTCTTAGACTTTCAGACTTTGGACTGATTTAATGATGTCAGGATGCTTAGTTCTTAACTGAAGTTGTGATGGAGAACGTCACCTCCCTGGGTTTGTAAAGAGCACTGAACTGTGGGAAGATATTCACCCACTTCAGCTTCATCTGTTTAGCAATCAAATGGGAGTGGTCAGTTTGCAGGAGTTGCATTGTTTTGGGTTTGTGAAGAATAGGTTCTTTTTCAAAGCGGAGGGCTCAACTTACTCTTGCCAAACACTATAAGAGGAAAAGAAGGGTAATTCTTGGATGGTACGACGGCAAATCATCTTTCTGGCTAGAAGCCTTGTTTTGGAGTTTTGTTGCTTAGTATCTGTCAGCACTTTAATTCCTAGGAATTAACTTTCTCTTCCAACAACTTGGCCTCAACTAAATGTTTGCATATAAAGTGTCAGAACTCAGAAGTTTTTTTAATTTTTTTTTTAATTAACTTTCCAAAAGTGGTTATGTCTCAAGATATGAAAAAAAGTACTTGGGGGGTACCCGACACTAAAGAAAAAAGTTATTAGTGTGGCACACATTCAATCTTGTGAAATATTTAAAGGAAGACAAGATGAACATTTAAAGTACGACCTTGAACAATGCAAAATTCTGCAGATTTATCCTGAAACGGGGCTGTATTTTGAGGTGTCTGGCACTTCTTGCCATTGCAATTACTCTACTGCCTTTGAGAATAACTTATTACAAAACTAACCTCACACGTTCAACCGGTTTCCCTTCAGAAATACTTCAGGTGCTGATGGATCACAAGAGGAGGGATCTCGTCCCCAGACTCTGAAGATACAAACAAGAAGGAAGTAGTTGTTAATGATTTGCCGATATAAACTAAAAACAAACGGCAACTCAATGAAACCATGCAGTTCTGCAGTGCCCCAAACCCTCGTGTTATATCGAACAGAAACAAGTGCTAGAGGGTGAGCGCGATTAGCTGCAGTACGGCATGCACCGAGGCGTGCCTGCTGAGGGAAGATGTGCCCCCAAAAGGAGAGAAAGTTAGAAGAAATTAAGAGCCTTCGTGAAACACCGACGCATCTCAGTGGACTTTCGTTACAGTCACATTCATCAGCCCAAATCCCACCTGAGGGCAACGCAGAAAAACTCCGCCAAGCACAGAGGAGCGAAAGCCGTCCCGATCAGCACGACGACCCCGCATCGCCAGAGCCGCCTCAGCGCCCGCAGGGCACGAGCCGCGTCCACCTGGCATCACGGGACCCCCGAGGGGCGGGTCGCAGCCCCGCCCGGCGACCAATCAGCGCTCCGCCCCGCGCCGTTCTCCCTCCTGCAGCCAATAGGACGCGAGGCTGCCCGGGCGCGGGGCGCGGGGCGCGGGCCGGAGCCGTGTTCTGGCGAAGCGGTCGTTGGTATCCGCGCGCTCCCGCGGAGCTCCACCCCTCGAGGCGGGGCCCAGCGTGGCCCGGCCCGGCCCAGCGCGGCGGCAGAGGCGATGCGGAGCTGGGGCGCGCGGCTCCTCTCCTAGACGGAGGCTGGGGCGCGTTCGCCGCCACCCGGGAGACCCAGCCGCAGGTAGGAGCCGCCGCCTCCGCCGGGCGAGGCGAACGGGACGCGACACCGGGTGCGCCGAGGCAGGTGCGGGGCGGGGGGCGACCGAGGAGGCGCCGGGGTGAGGCGGGCCGGGGGCGCGGCCCCCCCGCGGGTTCCAAGATGGCCCCCGCCCTCCTAGGGAGGCGGCCGGCCTCGCCGCCCCCCGTCCGGGAGCGGAGCCCCGCGGCGCTCCCGGGGCCGGGGCCGCGGAGAGGGCTGAGTCGCTCTGCCCGGCTCCCGGAGCCCTTCGGGGCGGTGCGAGCTCGTCCTGGGAAGTAATGGATGTGAGCGGACGTGAGGGGACGGCGGGCGCGCAACCGGGCTCGCAGAGCCGTAAATTTTAATTCGCGGCTGTCGGTGACGCGAGGTGTGCTCGTAGATCGGTTGAGAATAGCGTAACTCGGGCGTGGAGCCGGCCGCTCGTTGGTTTGTTAATGCTCACGCTTAATCTGCGTTGAGCGAGCCTTAAAAACATCCGTAAATAGCATTATGAATTGGACGAGTTGCACGTGAGCGGCAGGAACGAGCCTGGATGCGGCGGCACTCGGAGCGCTGTGCTCCCCGCTATGGTCCGGGCTGCGCTGCTGCTCAGCCCGTGGCATAGCAGACAAACCCCTTCCCGCACCTCCAGAGCTTTGTCCGGTTTGGTTTCCTAAACAGCCCTGTTCATCTTTGCCTTTCCCTCCTGCAGAACGTGGTGTGCGATAACTTCAGGGGCTTTTGGGGCGGGCGTCCTTCAACCTCACGGAGATCTCCAGCACTGAATTTCAGCATCTCCTTTCTACACTTTTCAGTGAGGTTCAGAGTTCTTATTTCAGACACCCCTAGATTGAGATTCTGGTTTCAAGGAGAGCTGCTTGTAGCCACTGTTCCTTGTTAAAAGTGCTTTTTGTAGATGTCCGTTTTAAAATGTAGCCGTTAGAGTTTTGGTATGAGGTATTAGTGTCATCCTTCACGACCTTTTAATGCAGGGGTGATTATGTCTATGCCGTATTTACAAAAGATCTGGCTTAATTTACAGCTTCGATTTTCACTTAATTAGAATAAACAATACTTTCACTGATGTGGATGATTAAATCTCTGATCTCACTTAGAATTAATGTTAGGATTTTGGTAAATGTCACTGTTGGATTCAGTAAGTCTTTTTGTATTCAGAACGGGTGATTACATGCAGTTTCTAAAAGCGGTCTTAAAGCAACGGTTAATTTAGGTTTTAGAATTTAATCTCTTAGAGCAGAGAATGAATGAAAGGGACACGGCAGTTTCAGCTGTGCATGTTTATTCATCAGAATGACAAAGAGTAAAGCGGCAACCTAAATGGCAAAAGGTAGATCTAAATGGGCTTGGACTTAGAGTCGTTTTGGATTTGACCATCTCTCTGCTTACATGTGTACACGTAAATGGGGACAGAGGTAGTCCCAGAGGTGCTTATTGCTGTCAGGTGGCAGAGAACATTGAGGAAACATTGCTCTGTGTTTACTCGGTTCTTGTTCTCTTCCTCAGGCATCTATCAGCAGTCTTTATCAGAGACAGGAGGCTGTGTTGCATGAGCACTGCTTCTGGGCTGGTCTGGCGTTTGTGTGCACAGTAAAATGTCTTCTGTGCTGTAACACCCAATTTGGAATTTAGTTTTCATATTAGGCAGGTGCAGCGCTGTAGGTTTGTAAGAGCACAATGTAAAATCAGAACCAGGTGCAGAGAAAGCAGATTAACATACTATTGCTTTCAGTGCTTATTTGTACCTTCATTAAAATTGACAGAGCTCCCCAGCTCCTGATAGAAAGCAGTCACAAACATGTCTCAAAGTGCCAGCCCTCTCCTGAGTGTGTGGTGGGAGCGCTGTGGTTCTCAGAAAGATGCTGGTGGAAACTGCTGGAACTCCCATCTGTTCTTAGGATGTTGCAGCACTGCCTTTACTAGAAGTGAAGCTTTGATTGTGCTTTCCTGTGATGAATTCTCCTTATGTAGCAAACAGCCAGGTGTACTTGAGCCTTTCATTTAGCTGTAACATATGGAAGGGAGCAGAAGGACCATAAGAAAAGTAGTTCAGTAGCACCTTTCTGTCTAACCTGGTTCCTCCATGTAAGGGTTATTTCACAGAATCACAGAATCAAAGAATGGCCCGAATTGGAAGGGACCTCAAGGATCATGAATCTCCAATATCCTTGCTGCAGGCAGGGCCGCCAACCTCCCCATTTAATACTAAACCAGGCTGCCCAGGGCCCCATGCAGTCTGGCCTTAAACACCTCCACAACTTCTTTGGGCAGCCTGTTCCAGCACCTCACCACTCTCTCTGTAAAGAACTTCCCCCTGACATCCAATCTAAATCTCTCTTCCCTCAACTTAAAACCATTTCCCCTTGTCCTGCTGTTATCAACCCTTTCAAAGAGTTGATTCCCCTCCTGTTTTCAGTCTCTCTTTAGGTATTGAAAGGCTGCAATGAGGGCACCCCACAGCCTTCTTTTTTCCAGGCTGAACAAGCCCAGCTCCCTCAGCCTGTCTTGGTAGGGGAGGTGCTCCAGCCCTTTGATCATCTCTGTGGTTCTCCTCTGGACCCTCTCCAACAGCTCCCTGTCTTTCTTGTACTGGGGGCTCCAGACCTGGACACAGAACTCCAGATGGGGCCTCACAAGAGCGGAGTAGAGAGGGACAATCACCTCCTTGTCCCTGCTGGCCACCCCTCGTCTCTTGGAGCCCAGGATACCATTTGCTTTCTGAGCTGCATTTCAGAACTTGCTATGGTAATAAGTAAAAGCAGGAAGAAATCCAGTCTTGCTGCTAGCGAAACCTGTTACTTGTCTCCTGGTGTACCTCTTTGAAGGCTGTTGTAGTGACTGAAGCAATTTTTACCACCTAGCGCAAGGTGAATTACACATGGGAGTCCCAAAAGCTTTCCACTTAGTTGTGCTAATACAGCTTAATCCCAGCCTGCGGTGTGTGTGTTCTTCCTGCCCCATCTCCTGGGAAGTTCTCATCCTGGTTGCTGCTATACATAGCTCATTAAGGAAAAGATGTGGTGTATTCACTTGTCCCTTCCTAATTTTAGTCTTAGAAATATATGACACAATAAATTGACGCTTGCAGAGGATCCTGAGTATTTATATCATAAATGATGTCATACCTTGGATTTCCTTGCCAGGTAGTAGTACTAAGTACAGCAGGAGGGAACGAGCCTTACTTAATGCATGTCAAATTAGCCTCGCAGTGCAGTATCCTTAACATTCCCGGACAGCTCAGCCCACTTGCTCTGTGCCACACCTCGCTGGCTGCGTGGCAGCTCTGAGAGCCCTGGCTCTGCTTGTCGGTTTTCCAGGACCTTTGGAAGATCACCATGCATTCAGTGAAGTTCTTTTAGTGAGTTTCCAAGTTTAACTGGTACTTTGACGTGCTCTTTACTTCAGCTAGCAGTCTTACTTTTAGAGGAGAACCAGCAGAAAGCAAAAAGAAGCTCGTCTGAAGATGCACAAAACTTTTCTTGGGTGTTTTTGAAGAGTATCAATATTCTTTATGCATAGCTAGCAAGGAATGTGACTTGAATTTTCCCTCCCCTCTTCAGAAGGGTGTTCTTGAGCAATAGCATTAAGCAGACCAGTTTTGGGGACCACAGCTTCTGTCCTGAAAATGACTTAGCTGTGTACGTTGTGAATCAAGTGTAGCAATCTTGCCATTGCTAGCTATGGAGAAATGATGAGTAGCTACTATGGGAGGGTTTAAATATATTTAATATTTTGGGATTACATGTTACTGTGGCCACTGTCTTGGTTTTGTCACTTTTCTATTCAGTTGTGAGGGCTAAGATGCTCCTTCAGTTCCCATTCTTGGGGAGCTTAAATGAAATCACAAGTCAGGCTAAAATCCAGCCTGGATAAAAAGCTGAACAGTGCCTTCTGAAAGTATGTTATGAAATCATAGAGTCATAGAATCACTAAGGTTGGAAAAGACCTCTCAGTTTATCTAGTCCAACTGTCAACCCATCATGTCTACTCATGGAATTGTTAAGGTTTGAGAAGATCTCTGAGTCCTCTGAGCCCAGCCTGCCCCCACTGTGCCCACTTGCCATGTCCCAAGTGCCACATTACCATGGTTCTGAAACAGTTCCAGGGACGGTGATTCCACCGCCTCCCTGGGCAGCCTGTTCTAATGCTTGACCAAAGACCCAACAGTCTTTTTTTTTTTTTTGGTCAATTCAGCTGGCTTTACAGTCAGTTGGAAATCTGGTGTGTTTCAGTGTTAGCACTCTTCACATGAAGTGCTTGGGATGTTGTATCTTCATAAGAGGGGAGGAAAAAAAAAAAAAAAAGGAAAAAAAAATAGTTTTAATAGAATAAGAAATCAAGCCAGTCAATTTAAAGAATCAAAATGTGAACTTTCCTGGTTCTTTAACAGCTGCAGCATTGCCAGTGATGTAATCATTCTACCACAAACCTGCAATGAGGTGCTCTGGAAGTGAACTCACTGTTTACATCTGGTATGTTCTCAGTATTTAAAGATAATCATTGAAAGAATCTGTGAACTAACTTCTAACAGTAGTGCAAAACCTTGTGGAACTATAGGATTGGCAATGTGATTGCTGTCATAACGCAGTGTGCCAAGGCTGTGACGAAATGTGAACATTGAAAGCATAGCCCTGTCGGTAGAAAACCCTGGGGTTTTCTATTGATTTGACTGCTCAGTGCCTGCTATACACGTGGGACTTGCTGTGGTTGTGACCCTGGGTGCCACCATTGCTGGTCCTGCTGTCCATTGCCAGTAGGAAACAACAGGTCTTTGGAGCTTGTAGAGGAGCAAGCAGAGCTTGGTGCCAGCTGGAGTGTTGAAAAAGCCGTTTGTTAAATGTCAGGGTACACAGCTAGTCATGGTTTTGAGATTATTGCTGACTTTTCAGAGCAGCATGACTAGTTACTGTGAAGGAAAGAAATGAGCATCTTTACTACAAGCATGATGTATAATGGGAGAAGGTGTATGCATAATGTTTTGTACCAAAGCTTGATTCAGTCATGTATAAAATGTTATCACGTATATGAATCACAGAATCACAGAATTGTAGGGGTTGGAAGGGGCCTCCAGAGATCGTGTCCAACCCTCCTGCCAAAGCAGGTTCCCTACAGCAGGTAGCACAGGTAGGCATCCAGGCAGGTCTTGAACATCTCCAGAGAAGGAGACTCCACCACCTCCCTGGGCAGCCTGTTCCAGTGCTCCGTCACCTCACTGTAAAGAAGTTCTTGTGCACATTTGTGCGGAACTTCCTATGCTGCAGTTTCCAGCCGTTTCCCCTTGTCCTGTCTCCACTCACCACTGAAAACAGTCTGGCCTCGCCATTCAGCCCCCCACACCTTAGATATTTATAGACCTGGATCAGGTCCCCTCTCAGTCTTCTTTTCTCAAGGCTGAACAGGCCCAGTTCACTCAGCCTTTCTTCATAGGAGAGATGCTCCAGGCCCTTCACCATCTTCGTGGCCCTCTGCTGGACTCTTTCCAAGAGATCCCTGTCTTTTTTGTACTGGGGAGCCCAGAACTGGACACAGTACTCCAGATGAGGCCTTACCAGGGCAGAGTAGAGGGGGAGGATCACCTCCCTTGACCTGCTGGCCACGCTCTTTTTAATGCACCCCAGGATGCCATTGGCCTTTTTGGCCACAGGGCACACTGCTGGCTCATGGCCAACCTGTTGTCCACCAGGACACCCAGGTCCCTTTCCGCAGAGCTCCCCTCCAGCAGGTCATCCCCCAACCTGTACTGGTGCATGGAATTATTCCTCCCCAGATGCAAGACTCTACACTTGCTTTTGTTAAACCTCATCCGGTTTTTTTTTGCCCAGTTCTCCAGCCTATCCAGGTCTTGCTGAATGGCAGCACAGCCTTCAGGCGTGTCAGCCAATCCTCCCAACTTCGTATCATCAGCAATGAATATATGAAGTCTTGAATATATGAAGTCTTATGGATGCTTACTCCTATTATCCCTATCCACATTATCTGTATCCATTTATTTGAAGCTTTCCTATAACCATTTTGAAAAAAAATAATTACTCCATTAAGGCCAATTTGCCTAAGGTAGGCTTGGAGGCAGAACAAATTTGCATATCATCATACCACCATGCCCTAAATAAAGGTCTCTTCTGATTTTTCTTATTTTTTTGCAAGGCTTCATAGAGAAGGGATTGTTAGGAACTTATTCTCGTAACATTTAGAGGCACAACAACCCAAGGCAATGCTACAGGTTTGGGACAGGATGGCTGGAAGTCTGTGTAGAAGAATTGGACCTAGGGGAGTTGTCTGCCCTAAGCTGAATGTGAGCTAGCAATGTGCCCAGGTGTCCAAGAAGGCCAGTGATGTCCTGGCTTATATCAGAAACAGTGTAGTCAGCAGGAGCAGGGAGGTGATCTTCTCTCTGTATTCAGCTCTGATGAGGCTGCACTTTGAGTCCTGTGTTCAGTTTTGGGCCCCTCACCACAAGAAAGATGTCGAGGCCCTGGAGTGTGCCCAGAGAAGGGCAATGAAGATGTGAGGGACCTGGAGCACAAGGATTGTGAGGAGTGGCTGAAGGAGCTGGATTGTTCAGTCTGGAGAACAGGAGGCTCAGATGGGACCATATTGCTTTCTACAGCTTCCTGAAAAAGGAGGCTCTGGTGAGGTCAAGGTTGGCCTCTTCTCTTATGTAACAGCAATAGAACAAGAGAAAATGGCCTCAAGCTGCACCAGAGGAGATTCAGGTTGGATGTTAGGAAAAGCTTATTCTCTGAAAGAGTAGTCAGGCACTAGAACAGGTTGCCCAGGGAGGTGGTGGAATCACTGTCCCTGGAGGTGTTCAAGAAACGTTTTGTTGTTGTGCTGAGGGACATGGCTGAGTGGGAAATGTTGGTAGTAAGTAGATGGTTGGACTGGATGGTCTTAGAGGTCTTTTCCAACCTTAGTGATTCTATAATTCTAGAATAAAAACGTGAAGATACTTCATGTTTCTGACACTAATGTCATAATACTATTAACCTTTCCTTTTTCCTTCAGGTTCCATACATTCTCAGCTCCCCAGTCTGGAAAATGCATACTTTGCATTCTTGTTGAAGTCAAGACAGTCATATGGGTAGGATAACCGTATGATTACTCCTTTGCTCATGGCTTTCTGATGGTGGATTAGGTTATCACTTATTTTCTCTGCCCCTTAGCAGTATGTAGACTGGGGATGAGAGTAGAGTTATGTTCTACTTAGTATTAATAAATAAAGCTGTCAGATGTCAGCATAATTAAATGTGGTATAAGTATGCTTAATTCAAATTGTATGCTGCTTTATTGTCTTATAAAGACAGCGTATATTTTTTTTTTCTTTTGGAGTCAGGAATGATTACATTTTCATATGTTCTTTCATTATATATGATGGATTATGTTTTGAAAACATAAGGAAGTGTGTTACCAGTACAGCCAGCAGTGAAGAAGGATTGGCTACAAGAACAGTTACACGATAAATTATATAACATATTAAGAATAAGGTAAAATGCTTTAGAGCTACTAATTATGCCTCAGAACTTGGAAATGTCTACATCCATTTATATAAGGAGCACAGAACATCTTTATTGCACTCATAATGTGTTGTTTGGTGGACTGAACTTGGCTTTAGGTAATGAATCTGTTCCAAAAGCAAAAGTGTAGTCTCATATATGAAATGCAGGGTGCTATTTCATAGTCAATATGCCATGAATGCTTTATGAAGAAATGTAATTGACATTGCTAATTATAGGTAAGAATGGGATATTTAGATTCCACATATTGTTTGTGGCCAGATGAGAAGCTTGAACTGGCTAATGGAATTTTTTTAAAGAAAAAATATATTTTTTTTAAACAAAAAGAAGTTGCAAATTCAGATGATAGAAAGCCTTGCTTTTCCATCACAGTTTGGAAGAGTTGCAGAAGAGAACTGATCTATAGAAACAGTATTAAATTTCTCTTCAGAGGCTTAATAGGCTAAGCAATGAAGGTTTCCAAATACAGTAATAGAGGTTTTCAATGAAGTAGCTGTTCATGAGTGGTTAATTATCTCATTGTGATCTGGGTCACTGGGGAAGCTGCAAACAGCTCACTTCTGTGTTCTAATGGCAAGTGGAATGTGTGCACGGAGGGGGAAAGCTGAAGCTGTATTGTCTGGAGACCAGCAGTGCTGGAGAAGTGTTCACAGCCAGCTTCTGAGCGAGCAGCTTACCCTCTTGTTCAGGTGTGTTGAGGATCAAGGCTAGCAAGGGTGTGCAGTATGGCTCTGTAGGTTGCATCAAAACTTTTCTCTGCTCCCTCTCCGTCCTCACTGTCTGGGTAGCCTGAGACATGCATGAACAGCAGCCCTTTGTCAGCAGCTTTGCTGGGGCTCCCTGCCCTGCCTTCCCTGCTGTTGTCACCATCTGCAGACATGGGGACACTGAAAAGAGTCGCTTGCTGTCTTGCATCCCAGGCTGTCTGAACCAGCAACTCCCAGTCATCTCCAGTATGCGTGTATGTAACCTGCAGCTTTGGCAAGTTAGCTTCGGTTCTAGGAATTGCTTTCTAATGGGGAAAGGAATGCCCAGTTTGCATTACAGAGCTCTCAGATGTTTCTTTTCCGAATATCTCAATCTATTGAAGAACATTAAAATTCAACGTTAGAATTTCCTTGTATTGGAAAGACACAGTGCTACAACCCAGCGTGGCTTGATCTGCTCCAGCAGAGTGGCACTGTGCACACCTTTGGTTTGGAAGTTTATGTGTTTGATATACCATACAAACTGGAATCTGGACCACCTTCAGCTGCCATGACCGTGTGGATATCCAAATGACAAACCAACCTCAGGGTATAAAGCTGTGAATAGCGTGCTTGGAGGCAAGTGCAGAGTGGTGTGCTGGGAGCTCATCTGACTGCTGCAAGGTGGGTGCTTCTAAGGAAAGGCTCTCCAGTGCTAAGAAACCTTGTTGCTTAACAATGACACTAAAAGTAGTGTGCAGCAGCTGAACAGTCGGTCATCAGGAAAAGCAGTTTTGGGAAGCAGCGTAGGAAAGATGTGTGGTGTCCTTCATGTGGAGCTGTGGCTACAACCAGCAAGCATGGAAGGTGGGCGCTGTTGGAAGTTCCTTCTGTTCATGTCTGCTGAAAGAGACCCATGTCTCATCTGTGGTGTATGTGCTGCTGCCCAGACCAACGGAGGAGTGGTGGTTGGAAATACTGATTTTAAACTGGAGGACCATGGCTTCCTTGGCAGCTACATCTGGAAGCTTCTTCACCATGAAGGGAGGAAGTGGCAAGATACATACTGGAGAGAACAGGTGGCAGTGGGGTAGTTGATAATGAAAAGAAAAGAAGGAAACTGCATTACACCAGTGCAGTAATCAGCTTTTTTTTTTTTTTCCTTCAATGAAGCTATGAAAATTGTTTTCTAAAATTTGTATTGTATTCAATATAAATTATTCCTGATTTCATGACACACGTGTTTATTACTTAATAAAGATTATTTAGCTTCATTCTCATTAAGGCTTTTCACTGAACTTGTTTATAATGATAAATGCAGAGTGTTAGAAACCTTCATTTCAACAGGAAAAAAAGTGGGAGTGAGAACAGAACAGTGTTAAAATCCATGCAGGAACTTTTCAAATAGGAAGAACCTGCAGCTGGTGTGGCTGGGGAGGAAGAGTTCAAGTATTTCATGTGTGGAGGGATGTAGTAACAGTTAACTAACTGGGAAAATACACAGGAAACATAATAACCAATGTCAGTAATATAAAGACAAGTGATCTCAGCCCACTGTCTCTCTACTGGAGGTTATCAAATCAAAGGCAAAGGTAGGCAGTAAAAGGCTTCTTGTTACTGTAGGAAGATACTGAGATGCTGTTTCATTTTCCATCGCTATGAATAGGGCGGACAACATCTGTACCACAATGTTTAATACTGTAACTTTGTTGTGTAGGTGGACGTGTGTAATGGATGATGGCAGCTGATTAAATGCTGCTTCATTAATGTTGGATTTTACATTTTACTCCTTGGACATAGAGCTTTGTCACAGTAGTTAATGAGTTCTGGCTAGTGGGTTTGGCTTCCAGTGGATGATGGCAATTAAACTTGAAAGGAAATGAGAGGGATTCTGGTCGCTGATCTCAACCATTTTGCATGCTGCTGACTTACTTCAGGGAATTAAGTGCCCCACCTTAATTAATCACTTATTTTGTCTTTTCTAATGTTGTCATCTGGCTTGGATATAGCATTAATATTTAAAATATACGTATCAGTTCAATAAACATGTGCATTACTTGTCAAAACACTGCAGCTTGTTAAAATAAGCCCACTGACATTGCAGTTAAACATCCTTGGGGTGACATGTGGTGGCAGCAGGCGCATTGTGTCTGCACAGGCCGCTCAGCTGGAACACTGGTGCTTTTTTGGGAGAGAAAGCCTCTTCCTTTTGTGAATGGAGTATCTTTGGCTTCCTGTGAGGAGAACATTGCGTGCCCATTAAGATGGTCTTACATCAGTATAAAACCAACAAGTTTAATGCTGTACTCTAGGAACGGAAAAATGTTTTCTTAAGAAGCTGGACCTTCTGTGGCTGCTCACTAAGTTTCCAGTATGTTAGAGTAGCTACACAAAAAATCTCAACACATTTGCCCTGCATGGTGAAGATTTAAATAGAAAATGAAGTTTCAGTTGTCCAAAAAATCAAATCTCATCTTGCATTTTGGTAATTATAGCTAAGTATTTGTTTGGCTGCTATCTGTGCAGTTCCTCTACGTTGGGATGACAGTGAGAGTATGCTCAGTGTCCGTGCAGGACGTGGTCAGAGCAGCAGCAGTCTGTGCTGAGGGTTTGGCGTGCCTCCTGTGCCCCTGCCCAGGCTGCAATGCAGTTGTCTTCTCTGAGGCCATGTGTCTCTGTCCCTTTCCTTGCTGCCAGCTGCTTTTGATTCACTGGTTGGTGAAATGCAAATCCCTTCTCTTTAGGGGGGATTGAGAGGACAATAAGCAAAGGGCTACTACTTTCCTTATGTGCACAACTAGCATTGGCCTTACAACCCATATGCCCTTACATGCTGTGTGAATTTGAAGCATATGTTAACCCTCGTTCTTGAAGAGCTGGTTTTGATTCTGCCTTAACAAATCTTAATGCCTCATTGCTCTTGCTGCCTTGCATCTTCTGGCTAATGGAAATTGTTCTCTTCCTCTTCATCTATCTTCATAGGATCATAGAATGGCCTGGGTTGAAAAGGACCACAATAATCACCTAGTTTCAACCCCCTGCTATGTGCAGGGTCACCAACCACCAGACCGGGCTGCCCAGAGCCACATCCAGCCTGGCCTTGAATGCCTGCAGGGATGGGGCATCCACAACTTCTCTCGGCAGCAGTGCCAGGGCCTCACCACCTCTGGTTAAAAAAAATAAATAGTTTGGCCTGTTCTGCAAAACTCGTTCTTGAGCAACATGAGATGTTATGTCCCCATTTGAATGCTCGTTTCAGCAGATGAGTGTATAGAACAACTGACAGCTTTGCTTTCCCAGTGGAGAAGGGGGAATGTGCCACAGCCGAAGTGAAAGCCTCATGTATGATTGCTTCTTTTTTACCCATCTTACTTTTCTTTGTTGGATATAGGCTGTAATAGAAAAGCTAATCCAAAATCCAGTGTTTCCAGCATTGCAGAGAAACTTATGTGGTTAGAAACTAGAAGTTTCAAATACATGGAAGCTACCCACTTCCTTTTATTTGTGATTAGTTTTTTTTTTTTTCCATGAAGTTGGAATGTTTTTATGTATAATCTTCCTCTTGCATGCACAATTGCTATTGTATGGGAACTGTTGAGTCAGGGCCTGAACCTCTGATTGATCACCTGAGGCGAGCACTGAGTCAGCCACAGGAGCACAGGTGAAGGCAATTCTCCTGTGCTGCCGGAAGGGTGGAGCCTGGCTGCACCTCTCCTAAGGCCCATTTAAGAGCTGAATGCCAGTGGGGAAGGAGCTCTTCTGGAGATCCACTCCACCAGAGTTTCCCAGGTGAGCCTGGGATACAGGTGAGTGTGCCTATCTTTTCTGTTTCCTGCTTTGGTGTATCAACTATGTAGCCAAGCTCTCTGCTGTACTATAAC